ATCCATTTACACTTAACTTCATATGTTGGCAAAATCCAATATGTATATAAATTAACTCCTGAACACAACATAAACTTCAGTTTTGGAGGCGTGGTCACTGAATGGTTTGCCTGGGGAATTTAGTACTCTCTGGTGTGCAGCATAGTGCCTGACACACTCAGATCTTTACCTTAGGAGAATAATTCATTCTGTAAGAAAAATGATATTTAAGCATGAATCCAATTAAAATGGGGAAAAAAAATCAGTAGAAAGGATTGATTACAACTTTATCTTGAAAACGGACCCAGAGATTATGAAAGTAAATTAACCTTGTCCTAGATTTAATAAAATTTATATTATAATGAATATTTCATGCTAAATTTTAGAATAAACAATTTTTAACAAAACTATTACATAATCAATTAACTTCTCCATGTTTGACTTTTATGACAGGGTGAGAGATTCTTTTTTTTTTTCAAGAAATAGTTTTTCAAATTAATATTTTGAAGGTTTCTTCAGATTTTTCAAGGATATTTCTTAGTCTTGAAAATAATTATTTAAATAAAATTCTCTTTTCAAGTAACTTATGTCATTTTCCTTGTTGATTATTTTTGTATTTGTTAGATGGTCTTTAATTGGGCATAGCCCTTAATTGTTAGTGGCATTGTGTAATATTATAATTGTCATGTAATGTAATTGTAAAAAAAGTAATATATTGTAATGGTTCTCCAACACTGATCTACTTCTAGAAATTCTGTATCTTATATAAGAATTTTAATTTTGATTTGCAGATTATTTGTATTTGTATAGAGACTGAAATACTAAAAAATTATCGGAAGAGGATTAATAGTCTTAAGAGGAAAGGCCCACTTCATATGGCCACCTGGGTCGTACACTACAAAACTTTAAGGGATGTGTGATGAGAGAGAGATGTGAGAAATGATTTAATTTTATTTGTGGGTTGGTTCCTAAGTGAGTGTTTTGATATTATGATAACGTATGTTTTCCTACATTAGCATGTAACTACAGGGACTCAGATAATCAATAATGTGGTCATTATAATGTGGTCATGAGAAACCCCATCCCCCATGACTGGTGGTTAATAAAAATTGTTGATTGAATGAGTGAATGTACAAGATCTGCTATTCCTGTATAATTTAATATTAAATTCCCTCACCAAGAAAATAGCTAGAAACAAAAACACTTGTGAGGCAGATACAGTAATAAAAAAACATAGAACAAAGTATTTTTAAGCACTGGCTCCATTTAAGACATATAGTAGGTCCTTCAGGTTATATGAAAATAAATTAACCATAGTCAGTTGAGACTTACATCATACCATAGTCAGGATGAGACTTACATCCAAGAAGTAAAGAATATTAACAGTTAAACCACAGTGTTGATTTCTTGTAACAAATATACCAGCATTCATATATTCAAAGACTGTTGTCCCTTTTGGTGTAGTTAATTTAGGAGCCTTACTTTTGATCCATTCACTTTACTCAAGAATTATTTTTTGTAGACAGACTATGAGACAGGCATTTTCTAAGACAGACAAGTAGCTCTGATGAAATTTACATCTGGTTGGAGGGGACAGACAATAAAACAACAGATTAACCAATAAGAAAAATATCCAGTAAGAAGCATTTAGGCGCTGGGAGGTGAGAACATCATGTGTCAGAGGCCACTCTAGGGGGCATGACCAGGGAAGAATTGTCTGAGTGGAGAACATAGAAGCTATGATCAGCCAGACATAGGTGAGGGGAGAACATTCTGGACTGGGGACAGTTAGAGTTTGGGGTGCTTGAGGAGGACCAGGGAGGCCAGCCTGGCCAAGTGGAACTGTGGTAGGGGATTAAAAGATTTTGGGTTTTGTTCTCTATTCACTGAGAAGCCAAGTACGATAATCGACGATGTTAAGATATATTTTGTTCAAAGATTGCTCTGACTGCTGTGGGGAGAATGGATTGAACGGGGGCGAGTATAACATAGAGAGACCAGTGGGGGCTTGGGGCCACAGTGGACTTGGACCAGGATTTAATGCAAGAGATAGAAATGAACAGATTGAGATATAAGGTTTGGGGAGTCACATTGATGCGACTTGACTTGGACATGAGATTTGAAGGAAAAAGAAATTTAGAGTAATTCCTACATGTTGATTTGAGTAACTAGGGAGGTGATGGTGCCCTTTGTTAATAGGAGGAAAACTGGCAGAGAGTGAGATTGGAGTAAGATGATGGGTAGGGCATTAGGAATTCTGTTTTCACCATTTTAAGTTGTCTGTTTAGATAGCTGCATGGATCTGTCATGTAGATATTTTGATTAAAAAAAAAAGTTGGGGGCGCCTGGGTGGCTCAGTGGGTTAAAGCCTCTGCCTTTGGCTCAGGTCATGATCCTGGGGTTCTGGGATCCAGCTCCTCATCGGCTCTCTGCTCAGCAGGGAGCCTGCTTCCTCCTCTCTCTCTGTCTGCTTCTCTGCCTACTTGTGATCTCTGTCTGTCAAATAAATAAATAAAATCTTTAAAAATATATAAAAATTAGAAAAAAAGTTGATCACCATTTTCCAATAAGAAGATAAGAAATAAATTGGACTTAATTTTATAATGGTAGCTGAAATAACTCAAATGCCTCTTTTATATTGATTTAACAATTTAAGTTACATGTACATATGTTTAAATCACATAAAATATGTTAATTTAGACATAGAGCTTTTTCCCTATCTGTATTTTACAAAACAATTTTAGTCAGAAACTTCCTGTACATTTTTGACAGCTTCACATGCTTTTTTGATATCAATGTCTTTGGTACTGCTACTGCAATTTTGGAGGGTTATGTAAGTGTTTTTTCTTAAAGGGATCTTTGAAAGGTTTTTACAACTGTATCTAACACTTGAAATTCTGAGGTCATTCTGATAATATCTGTTATTATTTTTTTTACCCATTCCTTTCTAGACTGGTACTATTTCAGAGTAATAGATATTTACCAAATAATACAGTGTTGTTCAAAACAAAATAATCAATAGGGTATCTAAAAAATGGAAAACTTAGTAGAGATTCAGAAATAAGTCAGCCTCTTCTTTTTCCCTCTGTATTCTTCTTTTTTCACTTAATAAATTGTGGAGATTATTCACAGCGGCTCATACAACAATTTTTCAGGACTGCCCTAGTATTCCATTATATAAATGTATCATTATGTATTTAAACAGCTGGTCCAGGTAGCTTGTTATCTTTGCTATAACAAACGGGTGCTACAATAAATAGTCTGGAACTTCTTTGGCCACATGGATGAAATCTCGGGAACAAAGGATAAATGCATTTGAAAATTTGTTAGAAATTGCCTGTTTACCTCCAGCGAGGTGGTAAAAAAAATTTTTTTTTTCTGGAAAAGTCTCTTAAGGTAGAGAAGGAATTTTATTTTACATCATTCAGTATCAGAAGATTGTGTTGATCTGGACCCAATGCCCTCAGATAAAGGAATCCTATTTAATATATACATGCATGCAAATAAAGCATAAAAGTGAATGAATAATGCATTTTAAAATAAATTGTCTCAAGACTGCATGCATCATATATACAAGAAAGATAGAAAACAAACTTGAAACTCTTAAACGTGCATCTTAGTGATAGTATAGATTTGTAGGTAAACGTTAAAAATAGTCCTTTAACATTAAAATCACAAAACATTTTGCTATAAATGTAGTTTTATCATTCTATTGTGTAAAACTAATGTGTTATTTTCCTTTTTCATATTACTACAGCCAAAACGATTGAAGAGTGTCCGTATACCAACACTCTCCAAAATAGTGCATTGTCCAACTTTTTGTCCTGGCCTTTTAGTGAAAATAATCAATATGTCATTGTAGAGTGGGGATTGTTTTGCTTTTATTATGGACAAATTCTTTTAAATATCATCAGTGATAACTAGTTTTTGTCTTTTGAATGTGAATTTGAGTCTTGGGAAAAGTCAAATCTGCATAAGAGATATTAAGTTAGCTGTTACTCTAGGGTTTTTTTGTGTGGTGTTTTTTGTGGTTTTTGTTTGTTTGTTTTGGCTTTGGTTTTGGTTTTGGTTTTGGTTTTATTTGTTAGTTTTGAGAGGAGGGCTTAGTGAAAAACAAGATGTAACTTTTAGAAGAAACTAATATCCTTATTTACCTTATAAATTTTCTTAAAAGTTAGTTTCAAAAGAAGAGCCCCCAAAATGTCTAAAGTAATGTCACTGTCAATTGGTATAAGATTACATTTTTTTCAAGGGAAATCATTTGAACTGAACAGTCATTTTGATGTATATGATCTGATGATTGTTTAAAAAAAAAAATCGCCTACCATGAAGCCTTTAGCTCAAGTGGATTTCTTGAGAGGTATATTTTAGACAAATGACTTAAATTTTCTTGGACAAAATTTTTAAAATTAGGTATTGCTTACTTTCTAATTTTCTCCTTTATATAAGAACAGATAATCTGGAAGAAGAGATAATTGTTACCATTGTTGAACAAGCATTATTAGAATAATATTTACAGAAGTCAATAATCTTTCTACACACCAGATCGAATTGTTTATATTTTCCCCCTTCTAAATCTAATCTCTATATAGCAATATAGATAAAACTATAAAAAATTAAGCATATTATTAGCTAGCCAAATTTAGATAAATATTTGTTTTAAATTTTCAAACGTTTAACTTCAGAACAAGTTGTATGTTTTTGACAGCGAGTTATTTTTTATATTTATATTTTCCTAAGACTTGTCAAATTTAGTGTCTTTTATGCTAATGTAAACTGCTTTTGAGAGAAAAAGACTTGCTGCTTTATGCACTGTAAATCAGATATCTAAAAATCTATGTTTATAGGCATCAGACTTTACTAAAATGTTTATTGAAGCAATTGTTCTCTATAGTTTTTCAAAATAAAACTGTCTTAAATAAACTGCCTTGTTTTTATTTTCTATGAAAAATTGAATTATTATCTAATCAGTTTGCTAAACGTTTCTTAAACGTTTACTAAGTCTGCATTCTGTCCTGCAGAGAAATGGTCAATGCCTGGTTCGCTGAGAGAGTCCACACAATCCCCGTGTGCAAGGAAGGCCTCAGAAGCCACACGGAATCTTGTTCTTGCCTCTCGCAGCCAAGTCCTCGTGCAGACAGCAGTGCGCCTGGAACACCAACCAGGAAAATCTCTGCCTCTGAATTTGATCGGCCTCTTAGACCCATTGTCGTCAAGGATTCCGAGGGCACTGTGAGCTTCCTCGCTGACTCAGAAAAGAAGGAGCAGATGCCTCTAACCCCCCGAAGATTTGATAATGACGAAGGGGACCAGTGCTCAAGACTCTTGGAATTAGTGAAAGATATTTCTAGTCATTTGGATGTCACAGCCTTATGTCACAAAATTTTCTTGCATATTCATGGACTTATCTCCGCCGATCGCTATTCCCTGTTTCTGGTCTGTGAGGACAGCTCCAATGACAAGTTTCTTATCAGCCGTCTGTTTGATGTTGCGGAAGGTTCAACACTGGAAGAAGCTTCAAATAACTGTATCCGCTTAGAATGGAACAAAGGCATTGTGGGGCATGTGGCAGCATTTGGTGAGCCCTTGAACATCAAAGATGCTTATGAGGTAAATAGGGAATCATTGAGATGGGGGAGTGGGGTGAGGAGGAGAGGGTGTGGGACAAGGTGGAACATTGGACACCTGCCGTGAATGATGGGGAGGGTGGGTATTTCAAAGTCAGATGGAATAGGATCACTGACATGTAGGAATTTGCATACTTACTTAAAGCTGGTAAGTGTGATAAGAACTTTCTCATCTTTTATTTATTTTTGGAAAGACTTTATTTACTTATTTGAAAGAGAGAGAGCATGAGTAGGGGGAAGGAGAGGGAGAAACAAAGAATCTCAAGCTGACCCAGTGCTGAGCACTGAGTTCCACTCAGGGTTCGGTCCCACAAACCTGAGATCATGACCTGAACCCAAACCGCGAGTCTGATCCTTAACCAACTGAACTACCCAGGTGCCCCAGAACTTTTCCATCTTTTAAATGAGTTTCTTTACTGGTGTTTCAGTCAAGGATATGGGCCATAAAGAAATCTTGTCTTGTTTTTCTCCTTCATGATAATTTAACATGGCTCATCTCACAGTTGTATTCTCTTCTTTTTTGCCTACTGACTATCCATATCCTTATCTATTGTCTGCACATGAACTTCGGAGGATTTCACTGAGATTCTAAAATGCTAAGTCCAAAAACTCAAAAAACCAAACCAGTAGTCTTTTTCCATTCATTTGTTCATTCAGATTAATAATGTTCATTTATTTGAAGTCTCATTGACACAAAAATCTGATTGTCTTTCTTTTCATCCTTTTTTCATTTGTTTGTTAAATAAATTTATGTCTTCAAAAAATAGAAATTGTTGCTCTAAAATATTTCAGTGGAAATACTGGGTATTGCACTTTTTTTTTTTTTTTGAAAGATTTTATTTATTTATTTGACAGACAGAGATCACAAGTAGGCAGAGGCAGGCGGAGCGGGGGGCGGGGGGGAAGTAGGCTCCCCGCCAAGCAGAGAGCCCAATGTGGGGCTCAATCCCAGGACCCCGGACCACAACCCGAGCCGAAGGCAGAGGCCTCAACCCACTGAGCCACCCAGGTGCCCCTGGGTATTCCACTTTTGTCTTTAATTATGGACTTAAAGATCACACTATGTAATTCTTCTGATTTCCCATTTAAAATGATCTTTTTATTAGTAGAATTGTGTTTTTTAAACAAGGCATCTTACTAAATGACATTTTGTTTATCAGGTGTTTTCTAGCACCTTGATAGAATAATTGATCTAGCCAACTATGTGATGCCCTCTAAATGTTCCGTGGTGGGGTGCCTCAGTTGCTCAGTGGGTTAACCCTCTGCCTTTGCCTCAGGTCATGATCCCAGGGTCCTGGGGTTGAGTTCTGCATCGGGCTCCCTGCTCAGCAGGGAGCCTTCTTCCCCCCTCCACTCTGCCTGCCTCTCTGCCTACTTGTGATCTCTCTCTCTGTCAAATAAATAAATACATACATACAGACATACATACATACATACATACATAAATAAATGTATGTATGTATGTTCCGTGGTAATCCCAGCTTGCAACTCCTCTATGTAATTTAAGCAGTCATTACTGTTTTATTCACACCTGTATTCCTGATGCTTAATAAAACAGTCATTACTGTTTTATTCACACCTGTATTCCTGATGCTATGCCTGGCACATAGTCAAGTCTTAATAAATATTGACTGAATGAAAATTATCTAGGAGGTAGGATAGATAAGTAGCATAGAGAGCAGATCATAACAGATGCCAAGGAAAATGTGGTAGGTTCAGGGAAGCAGGAGATAACATTACTTGGGGAATTGAGAAATGATGTTTTTTTGAGGAAGCAGTACTTGATACCAACCCTGGAAAATAGATAAGATTTGAATAGATTGGTTTGTGTGCATGGTGAGGTCCAGATGTAAAGAGAAGTTGAAAGAAGCAACAGGGCCGGTGCACTGTGTGGTGCTTGTATGGACATGTGTGGGCAGCAGTCGGTATTGACATTGAGGAGCTATGGGGGCAGAGCATGCAGATTACTGGAGCCTTGAATGCCAGGCTTAGGGGTATGTGTGTGGTCCAGAGCCATGAGGAGTAATTGAAGATGGTTTCAAAGGGGAATTGGTATGATTCAAACTGATTTAGCAGGATGAATTGTACAGTGCTCATAAAATGAAAAATACTGGATACTGGGAGGATAAATTACTTAATGGTGTGAGGAAATGAGGACCTGAACCAGGGCACTGGCCTTAAGGAGCAAAAGAAGGGAATGGATTTCCAGTGAAGAAGTGGAATCTGCCAGAGTTGGAAGCCACTAGCAGATGGAAATGAGGGGGAAAGAGGAGTCGAGGATGACTGAGGGTTTAGATGTGGGAGAATAAATATGGTCACAAGGGAGTAATACTGAGATATGATAGTTTAGGTAGGTGAAATCATGAGATATTTTTCAGAATCCCCTGTATACGAGCAGTCTATTCCATTTTGATTCTTCATGGAGCTATCTCGATGACTTCTGTGAGCTCTGTAGTAACGCCACACCGTAGCGGACTACAACAGGGGTATTAAGGACACAGCTGAAGGATTGCTGCCAAATTTGCAGAATTCCCTTCCTGTCCTAGGTGACAGCTGGGTTTCCGCTTTTCAATGGCACTATAGTCCCAAGTACAGTAGGACCATAAATATGCTTCAGCTTTGCTGAGAAAGCCTTCATTTGTCTGTGTGGTTCTAAGTTTCTGCAACTCTGAGAATTTCTTCACTTATGTGCATTTTGGCTGAATATGCTTACCATTTTCAAAGTTTGGACAGTGTAATTTTTGTTTCGGTTAGTAATGACTTAATTCTTGTGCTACTGTCAGAAAGAGGCCCATGTCCTTGATTTGCAGTGCTTCCAGGGTGAAGCCTCTTAGCCTGTGGATTCTTCATGGTGCCGCTTCACCCTCGGCAGCCTTTGTCCATGTTTACAGGGGCCTTAGCAAAAGTCATTCGTGTCCCAGGAATTTCATTCTTAAGGTGTGGAGCTGACCTTTGACATACAGTTTGCATCTGTGTTGACAGTGGAAGTGAGTTGGCTATTGGATAATTCATTATTCAGCTCCACCCATAATTTGAATAATAAGAATTGTGACTCATGGTTTCTTGAGAAGTCAGAATAGGAAAATGCATTCTGTCTTCTGAATCCTACCTCTTTAAACATACGTCTGTAAAAATAACACCTTACAGCAGTATTTCTTAAAGCCTGTTTGACCACAGAACCCTTGAAAAGTTGCAGTGTAGCAATAGAAAACCATGAGGTGGTTGTGAAATATAATCGAGTTCAGTTTGAAGCTAAAAATACGTAGCAGTCTCATAGATAAGTCATTCGTAAGAAGTGGTCAACATTTGATTCATTTTTTAAAAACTTTATGACAGAATGATATAAATTTGAGAATTGAGCTATTTTATTACTAATAAGATAGCACATTCATATATTTAAAGTATAAAACAAGATCCACAGCTTAAACCAGTGATTCTCAATCAGACCACAAGTATCAGTGAGAGGGTGTTTGCTGCCTAAATCGCACAGCATCTCCTCCTACATCAGCCCATCATTCGTGTAACTTTCTTAAATGTGGCACAGCATTTATTGATAATAAGATATAAACACATAATGATCAGAACAACTGTATAAATGTGTTTGGTGTTCTCCTTATATGTGAAAACTAGATACTATCCAGTATCTAGAATGGATTGTGTATTAGGGTTCTTTAGAGAAATATATATAGATATAACAATATGTAGATATATATGTATATGAATACATATACATACATATTTATATGAAGAGGATTATTATAGAGGTTAGCTCACTTGATTATGGAGGCATGGAAGTTCTACAATCTGCCTGTTGCTTGTAAGCTGGATAACCACGAAAGCTCATGGTGTAATTTAGAGTCTGAAGGTCTAAGAATTGGGCAGCCAGTGGTGTTAAGTTTGTGGCTCTGAGTCCAAAAGCCTGAGAGCCAGGAACCTCATTGGAGGGCAGGTGAGCAAAAGAAGGTAGATGTTTTAGCTTAAGCAGAGAGAGTGAATTTGTCCTTCCTTTGCCTTTTTGTTCTGTTCAGGCCCTCAGTGATTTGGATGATGCCAACCTGCTTGGTGAAGATGTTTGCTCAGTTTATTGATTCAAATACTAATCTCTTCTGGAGACATCCTTACACACATACCTGAAATAATGTTTTACCACCTATTTGGGTATTCTTTTGCTTAGTCAAGTTGACACTTAAAACTGACCATCACAGATTGCCTTGAACACCTAGTTTCATGTCCTACGGAAGGAAGCCTTGAGATTCCCCAAGATTTCCTGTCAAAGGATTTATGTGGTCAAAACACTCCTCTCTATCCCAAGTCAACTGAGATGTAAAATGTGGGCTCCTGTTCTGTTTCCATAGGAAATGGAAGACTAGGGAGAAGACTTGCAGGGTTTTAGGGAAGGGTCTCATTGCCATTCATGCAGCCTTTACCATGTAGCTACTATTCTTCCCACCCTGATGACTTCCTTCCTCCTTTTGTATTCCTTATCTAGATAAATCAGTCTCTATCATCTCTCGTTTTGCATGTCTCACTTTATCAAAATTTTTTTACTAAAAAAATATGAGCTCTTTCAAATGAATTTCCTATGAATAAAATGATGTCCAAAATGAATTTTAGGAGAAAGAAGTAACACTAGCAATTGTTTTAATCTTGATAAGTCTATTAATCTGTCATGATCTAATTGTGCCCCAGGGAACATAGTTTGGGAACTGCTATATCTTTTTTCAGTGTTCTAATAATCTTTAGGGATCATATTAAATGCCACTCTGTGGAAGAAAACTAGCCTATAAATCGGGAAGAGTACTGTATTGTTTTCTGTTATTTTGATTTTTATATAATTTCAAACTTAAGGAAAAGTTGTAAGACTTAAAAAAACTTACATATATACTTTATGCAGATTCTCCAGTTGTTTATGTTTTGCCCCATTTGCTTTATCGTTTTCTTCTGTATACAATGCATGTCAGTAATATATGCATACTATTTTTC